TGACTGCGCGCTCTGTACGACTTTGGTAGTATACATTGTAAGTCTGGGACCATGAGATGTGAGCGAGAGGACAGAGACGCTGCCACGGTGCCATAGTGCCACACACAAGTAGGGTGGCACTCGTGGTAGCTTATGCATGATTTTTGCATTTTGATGATGCGTTTTTTCAACGCAGTGAATGAAGAAGCGGCAACTATCCACTTTTTCTTTCCTGAGACAACAACCCTCTTTTGACCTACTTGCGACAAAGAATCAGGTATTGTGCCCAACTACGGGGTCATGGGAGCCATCGGATCAAAATAAAGGGTGCTCTCATTGAGGTCTTCACTCTCTTCTTCTTCCACATCGCGAAGGTCTTTATAAATGGACTAAGTGACCCTTTAAATTCCGTCATTCATACTCATTCAATGGCGGTGGCTCAGCCCTGTTCGAGATTCTCGTGAGGTCCGTAATCTCGACTTTTGGTATTAATTCGGTTACCACACAAAATTCGCTCAAGTCGAGCTCATTGCCTTGGTGAGAACTCCAAGGCAATGAGCTCGACATTGAGCGAATTTTGTGAACGTTACCTCTAATTTGTACGTGTTGGAACAAATCTAAATCGGATCAAGTCCAAGGGAGGCTGCAGCTCATCCATCTCTAGTGGCCTTGCTTTGGAAAGCCTTCATTCTTCGAAAGACCTTTCAATGGCAGAAGCGGCTTTTAAAGAAGATGGCAAGTACTCTATGAATTTCTGAGAGGGCGCTCTCCGAAATCGAAGTGACTTGATGAGCCACTTGCAGCCGGCTAATCACTGAAAATGAAAAATGTCGAGGAAAATCTCGCCCGCTGCCGTCGATGAAAACTCGCCGAGAATTTCGAAGAAATCTCGAAGAATCTCACCGCCACCTCATAGAGATCTACTGTGACATTGGAGCGGATTTTAGTTTATCCTATGATTTTTATAGATAACAATCTATCAAGCATAACTGTCTCTAGTGCCCTTTGGTATTCACATTCACTTCCAATCGCAGAAGACTAATCTTTTCACCTCTCGTGGTCGCCATTTTCTTTCGACTTATTATGTGTTTTAGAATATCTCTTCTCACGTTTTTGTATCATCAGCAGTTTTGTCAACTTTTTGTGAATCCTCGAACTTGACATATTTTTCGAGAGCATATTTCGCAATAAGCCGCGGAAAAGTTCGTACATAGGTAGTAGGGTTTGAGAAACAGAGAGTGTGCGCTAGCTGACCCCTTCGTGGAAATAAATGGAGGAAACTGGCTTCTTCACTGAGGCCTTCCTCGTTCTAAGCAAGAGAAGAGCATACAAACAAGCTCTACGATAGAATAAGGGCGGGGTGGAGTCACGTGCGGTTCTTGGGTACTTGAATACTTGAGTGACCTGCCCTACCTTCCGTTTTTCAGCGCGAAACATGGTTATCAAGTGAGACTCCTGCTAGCTTTTCCACAGCACGGCTGTGATTCCCATGAGCAACCGTGAATTGCGCCTTCAAAGAAGTTGAATAGAGATGAGCTCCAAGCGAGTTTCCCAACCATGGCTTTTCCTTTGCAAATTTCTTCCCACTGGCTTCCCCGTGTGATTTCGTTTAAATTTTCAACTTTCTCAAAAGCTTTGCAGCTTTCCTCTTGAACTATGCTCTGAAGATCGATACTCTTCGTTGCACCGTGTAGAAAGTTTCTTTGTAATATTTTGTAACTTGAGAACCAAAGGTTCAGGTGTCCTCTTGTTTTTACTTGAGCGGTTCAAAAGCTTTCAGTCGAATGAACTGCACAACCTCATCAGCGCCATTTGGGCCTCATTCCTACACCACCTAGATCAAATACTGTAGTGCCATATGCATATTCTCTTGTAATGACGCCATGACCTTTAAAGGTTCTAGGGGGAATTCGAAAGCTTATATTTTTTTCAGTCATTAAGGATTCTATGACATCATAATACTGAAACTCTTACTACAATTCTTTTGCAATTTTTATTTAGTAGTGAACCTGAATGAATAAATTGATGCATCGGAGTATGGTGCTGTCCCGGAGTCTCATTACTCATCTGAATGTGTATTAACAATGTGAAACTCCAAAAGTTTATTCCAAAAAACTCAAAAGACAGCAAAAGTCTCAAAAGTTTTTTAAAATATATCTTCTAATCTGGCTATATTGCGGTGCGTAGCACCCTTCTTCAGGGCCTGAAATTATTTAGCTTGTTTCATTGCAGAATATCCTACAGAAAATGTAACCCGCACGGACTCTCCGCCCATACGAGGCACTTACGAAATGATCCTGGCAAATTAGCCACCCACCCTAACCACACCCTTAAATATGGGATGTGACGCGATCACATTATGACTTGCATAATGTCACTAGTTCCTCCCTATTGTTTATTTGGGGTGTTAGCCGTTTTATTTCCAAGGCCATCCATATTTTCCTTTTCCATTGCGCTTCTCTACCGAGCGGTGTAGTACTTTGACCATTAAAGAGGGGGGTTTCCTGTGAGGCGTGCTCCATTATGCGATGCCGGGAGAAACTGCTATTAGGGTAAAAGGTGGATTTCCCAGCGCCCTCCGGTGTCGTGCGATCCGTTTTGTATAGGGGCCTCCCAGTTTCTCCCCACATATTTTTGCCACGCATCCTTGGCATTCTAACCAGATAAACTGTCCCGCCTGAGTTGACAGATTTTAGAATCCCTGCAGTAACTACAACCTGCCCTTCCACATTTATCTTCATAAAGCTGAAAAAATGTAAGGAGGCGTTTTAAATTTGGTGAGACGAGAAATTAGGCGTATAGGAAGTGGTGAGCACTTTACAATATATTATATTTTAATGCCCGTGCTTTCATTGAGGTAAGGTAATACAATGGGAATTTCCGTCGCCGTGGAATGCGGTTTCCCATGTCGATGGATAGAATTCTAAAGAGAGAATGGTATACAAACTACCCGCACCCATACATGGAAACCGCATTCCACGTGCGGACGGAATTCCCTTGGTATTACCTTACCTCAAAGAAAGCACGGCAAAACAATAAATAATATGTAAAGTGCTCACGCACTTCCTATACGCCTAATATTTCGTCTCCACCAAATTTAAAACGCCTCCTTACATTTTCCAGGCCTTATGAAGATAAATGTATGAAGGCAGGTTGTAGTACTGCAGGGATTCTAAAATCTGTCAACTCAGGGGACAGTTATCTGGTAGAATGCAAGGATGCGGCAAAAATATGTGGAGAAACTGGGAGGCCCTATACAAACGGATCGCGAACACCGGAGGGCGCTGGGAAATCCACCTTCTTACCCTAATAGCAGCTTTCTCCGGCATCGCAATAATGGAGCACCTCACCAGGAACCCCCCTCTTAAATGGTCATAGTACTACACCGCTCGGTAGAGAGCGCAATGGAAAGGAAAATATTGGAGGCCTTGGAATAAAACGGCTAACACCCCAAATAAACAATAGGGAGGAACTACGTGACATTATGCAAGTCATAATGTGATCGCGTCACATCCCACTATTGAAGGGTGTGGTTAGGGTGGGTTGGCTAATTTGCCAGGATATTTCGGTAAGTGCCTCGTATGGGGGGAGTCCGTGCGGGTTACATTTCTGTAGGCTCATATTCTGCATAAAACAAGCTAAATAATTTCAGGCCTGAAGAAGGTGCTACGCACCGAAATATAGCCAGATAAGATATATTTTAAAAAACTTTTGAGACTTTTGCTGTCTTTTGAGTTTTTTGGAATAAACTTTTGGAGTTTCACATTGTTAATACACATTCAAATTGATGCATTTAAAATTGTGCACATAGGCCAATCATATGTGTGCATGTGCGGTTTACTTATGAAAGACATGAAAAAGAGACAAACAAAAGTCTGAACAATTAGCTAGCGATCGTACAAAGTTCAGAAGAACAGAACGAATACAATCCTGCTGTAGAAGGTGCTGGAATTCTTCTAAGTTCATTCCTTTCGACAATGTTATTATTTTTGTGAGCACAGCGTACATGCGTCTAAAGCAAGGGGGTGTGGGTCTTTTCGTAGCGGAGAATTTCCCTGCACTATCGCTTAATTGGTGCATGACTAGCCTGGGGCTATAAAATTCAAATGAGCCTATGCATGGCTACGCTACACGTGGAAGAGTCACTGCGCAAAGTTCAGAGCTCTTGCGATTCTGCGAGAGATTACCTTATCTCAAGTAAGCGATCAGCGCTTACAACTTGGCCTACTTGGCACATATATCCCGCTTCTCTTCTGGGAAGTCGTTTGCATACAGTATATCATTGAGTGCGGGGGTTTTTGTGAGAGTAATCCCGAACCTCAATACTCGCTCCTTCCAAAGCACCATCATGTAAGATTGAAGAGATGTAGACGAGAAGCTGCTGCTGTTGCGTGACGAATTGCTTCCAAAGGCTACTGAAATCATATGGAATCGAACTACCGTTGCCTGTTTTCTCGCTCGTTCCGTAGTCGACATCGAAACTGACCACATATTTTTAAGGAGTGCATATAGCCTATTTCAAGAAAAGCTGACTTTTTGCGGTCCAGCGACTGAAGTATAGAAAAGCACCGCCTGCGGTGTTTAAAGCTCAAATAGCCTAAGGGCAAGGGAACAGCGGAGGCGTGCCGTTGTGGACGCGCCCTCCTTTCCGTGCATCCATCCTGAATCGTCCGTGAGAGCAATTTGCAGCAAGTCGGCGACCCATCAGCCGCTCTTATCTATTCAACTCACACATCATTGACTCTTACTCTACGCTGATTTCTCACAACAATCCAATCTCAATTTCCTTCATATCGAGGGGGGGGGGCGTATGACAACCAATGGTCTTGGACTGCTTAAAGGCACATAGGAACGTGCTGAGGTGAAAATATCTGGATTCAGAGGGGTTGAGTGACTCGCCTAAGATAACAAGCCACTTCTCAATACATCACTCGGGCGTCTTCGGTTTATGGGCGTCTACCGACCTGTATATGTCATGAGCATTCCTTCAGCGCGCATTCCAGCCGCAAGGCAAGGAGAGGATGGCCACAATCGTGTGCACTGCAGATGGTAAGAACTGTTGCGCTCAGATAGTCGACCATTTCCCTAATTTCCTAATCTCTTTCATTTACTTTGCGGGAGAAATAACTCTATTCAACATAATGCAGCTCTCATATCCGATTCCCTCTTCTTGCTCCGGCACGCTGCCTCGATGTCTTCCTTGTACACTCATCCTTTTACATAATTTCTTTTTCCCTTCCTTTTTACTGAATCATTGTTCAGTACCAGCATGTTCTTCTGAATTATGTGGCGCTCTTTCCGGTGTATTTTAATGATTGAATGGATAGCTAAATAGTAAGGTATTCCATTGAAACATGGAACATATGGAGGATGGCAACTGGTTTTTTTGAAGATTTGAGATTTACCTTTCACCTGAAATGGCGGGTTCATTTTACTGAAAATCTCACCTCTATCAGAATAAAAAAAATGAAGCCATAAAAATAAAAATCTTCTTACACCAATTAATCAGCCCTTCCCTGCATCTGAGCGCGAAAAACGACATCATGCATTGCTTACCGTTAGTTCACAGAGCACGTCCAAAACCAGACTATTTCTTTGAATTCGACCCCTGCGAATGCTTCTACCGAGGTTCTCTGATTGGTCATGGGATAGACCGCTGGAACTAGCGAATAAAATACAATAATTCATACAACAGTAGGCCTTCTACATTTGAGCGATTTCTAGATCTTGCCTCTTCAATGCGATTCTCACCATAGGCTCTGAAGGCTAGAGGACTAGACTGGCTCACTAGAGATGTACCACTCGACAAACATGCAATGACCATCTTCTCTTCACGGCCTCAAAGACAGTTGGCGCGATAAATCGCTATACAGCTGTAGGATTTGTACAACTGGCTCAACAGAATTCCGTGACCTCGGACAGGCGCTGTGTGAAACCTTTTCCAATGAGGGTACCTCTATAACGCCCTATCGAGCAACAACTTTACGTCCCAAACGCCTTCCTTGCCCGCCCGCCCACAAACGGACGACTGTTTCTGACGCTCGTATTCATTCATTTGCTAAGCAAATTATGAAGCGAAGGGATTGGTATGAAGCGGCCGTGATGCTGCATGGATATATGAGTACTCATATGCAGCCGTACCTTCGGTAGCGGTGATTGGCAAGGTGCGTACGGGAAACTCGTCCGAAATCGACTTGCGAGTCACTGAGAACGGAAGCTTTTTCTTCGCCGGATATTGACCGTTTCACTCCTTTCTTTCACCATTTCCCCACTATACAGCGCTCTACTAGCATTTTAGGCTAAGTCGGAAACCATCGTGCCAACTGCCTTTGATCTAGTATTTCTTCAATGTGTTGGTTGGTCCATAGGTAATGGCAATGTATTTTACTTAACGTGCCGTTTCCAAAATGAGGAGTTTTGCTAGAGATTTCTATACTATCTGATGGTACACCTTTCCTTTTATAAGGGAATGTGCTTGGTTTGTTTGAGGATCCTGCATTTACAAACTTTTAGGGGATTGTAGCGGAGTGCGAGTTTTTGTTATTAATTTTTCGACACCCCTTCCATTTACTTGGAAAGATGAAACCGCAGAGGTTTATTGAACGATGATAAGCTTTTTCGCAGAAATCCATGCAAAATAATGTGGACTTCGTATAGGTCATGAGCACGAGCATGAGATTCTCGTGGATCATCATCTTCGCTTAGTGGGTCGAAACGTTGTGGATGGGATCTGACGGCTATAGGTACCCCCTCCTCCGCTCTATGGGAAGCACAGTTACGAGGTCCAATTTCCATTCCTTACCGCTTCAGTCGTTTTTGAACATTCCAAGGGTGCATTGTTCCTTGGACGTACACATCACAAGGTTTGAGTTGCTTTTGTCATTTGAAAGCTTAGATTGAGTGCAAAAGAGGTGTAAGAAAGTCTCGTTTGTGTAGACATGACACTCCATCACACTTCGATGAATTAAAAATTGACAAAAATCGTGGATTACTTGGAAACCGAAACATTGATGTGGCGCGGAAAATTATTTATTAAACAAATCAGAGCACATTGAAGAAAATTCTCTCTTTTCTCACAAAATTTCATGTGAGGAAGAAATGCCGTCAAGGTTGAACCAACCCAATATTTTCGTGATATAGTTAATGAGTATGAAATATAACTGGGGTTATGGTAAGCAGCGCATCTTTGCACATGACGATGCACTCGGGGTTCTTTACTCTTTGCTCAGTTCTAAGGCTTATGTTAATGTACTAGGTGATGAGTTAGCGAAAGTTCGTTACCAATAGCATTTCCATGGTCTGCAAATGGCCTTCGGAACTGCCACTACCAGGCCTTCTTGCTTCATGCTTTTTCTCTTCACAAATGATCCTTTCAGTTATCAGTTTTCTCGTTCATAAAATAACCTTCTCAGTTGCTTCTTCTGATCCACTTGTTGCCTATACAGACTCTTTGAACCCACCTACGCAGTAGCTGAATGAATCGCCCACACATGCGCTGCTGGACTCTGGAGAAAAGTCCACAAAGCTTTGAAAGCCTCGAAAAAAGTGCCTCACAAAGCGTACCCTCTTTACGAAACTCTTATGGCATAAGCAGAGAAAGGTTAGAAATAATAATTCAATAATGACGTGGCTCCCTTACCCATTGTTCAGGTGGAATGAGTTCGAGGGCTTTTGCGGTTTTGAAAAGTCGAACGTATAATGGCCAGTTGATTAGATTGAACCGTATTTACCCCTCTTTTGTCCAAATTATTTTCCCTTCAGCTTAGCGGTTTATATCAGAATTTGAGCCTTCCTGTGCATATTTTGTCTACCTTCTCTGGCTGCTGCACCGTTCGCAGTATGCCCGCTCTATATTGGTAGCACTAATAGTCCTCACTTTCTTCATTGTTATGTTCCACCGACTTATCATCAACATCAAAATATTTCAGGATCGTGCACTATGCATGAATCGTAGCTACGATGGCCTTCACCTTTATTCTTACTTTTACCGTCTCATTAGTTGCTGCTTTAGATGAAGGTAGCTGTTGCTTTTTTTTGTTTGACTCTTGCACTCTCCAGTTGTACTCCACTTAGGTCGCGTCCTGTCATTGAGGAAACATTTCTCTTAATAAGCCCCTCCCAGAATTTCCCTCATCTGCTACGACGCCCTCCCTTTCCCAGCCTACCCTTCCTACCATCTTCCTACATACTCTCTATCCTACACTTTTTCCCGGTTTTTTTTAACAAGTCCTCAAGTTCCTCTCCAAAGAACTGCCGAGCGGGGAAGAAACATGGAGGGAGGTATACAACGCATTGAAACAAAAAAAAACAGAAAAGTCAACGACCAAAAACATTCTTCTCAAAGACAGATACGACCTTCTCTCCCGGCTGCCCCTCGCTGGGGATTCCCATCGTCCGACCTGTCAGGCCCCAACTGTGCTGCAGCATAAGCTTAACTAGTGGTGTTAGCCTCTCCATATCCTCCTCGAATACGACCTCCCCTCACATTTATCTGTCGTGTCGCCATGATTTTTTAATTCCCTGCCAATTTTCCGGAATTCGCCAGTTTTTCCAAAGAACTTTCTACAAGTGGAGCAGAAATCCTTTTAATTACCTGCCAGAAATATCGAAACAGTGAGGAAGTGAAGAAATAAAGAGGAATAGGAAGAGGTAGTGAAGAAATAGCGAGGAACAGTGGTGAAGAAATAGTGAGGAATAGTTATACAGTAAGCAGTCTACCGCCCTAAAAGGAGACGCGGGGGGAAGTATAGCGCTCATGAAAAGAAAAAATCAACAACATGAAAAATCTCTTGTTACTGAAAAAAATTTCCAGACCATATGCGACCCTCCTCCCCAGCGACAACGCTGAAGCCTGACCTTAGTAATGTGGTTTCTATAATCGATTAGACAATATGAAGCCCAAAAGATGTTCAAAGCATCCTCGAGAATAAATTTACCTTCCAAAAATTTACCTGAACTACTGATTACAGAATGCGCTCGATGTGACTTACGTTCATCTTACTGTAAAATCTGGGACGATGGCACGAGGACATGCGAATGTCGCGACGGATTCCAACAGCTAACTAATGGGACTTGCCAAGGTTCGATTTTTTTTTGCCATTTTCCTTCAAGGGATGTTTCCCGGATTTTGATGTGCTTTTGTGATGTTTATTTCAGTGGTTAACCAAGCTGCGCCAAGCTTGATTGACGATCCTTCCGAAGAGCCGTTTTGTGTGCTTGGTCAAGCTGAGAAGGCTGCCACAAGGTAATCCTGACTCATGACCATACTCGATCTGTTCTCTCTGAATTATCTCAATTGCTTCTCATTCACTCAAGTTTAGAGGAACACTAAGGTTAATAAGTTCTTTAGTATGATAGCTGCTGTCAATTGGCTTTTGCCCATGACTCAGTATCTTGTGATGACTCTTCAGACCGCCAACTGCAGCGTTAAGCAGCAGTTATCATACTGAATCAAAATCGAAGTCAAACCATGTAGATATCTTTCGGCCTCGTGTTTCACCGCCGATATGGGATAACCGGCTTATCACCTTGAACGTGTGAGCACTGTGAGGCTATGGCACAAAAACCATTGGGCTGAAAGGGTAAAAGCGACGCCGGTGGTGTCGTACTAGGCGCCCTCACACGGTCACCGGACATGCGGGTTTGAGACCCGTCTGGGGCCTGACTTTTGCCCATAAGTCAGCATTTTTGTGATTAACATTGTCATCAGTCACAACGAAAAGTATCGAGCCAGACATGGTCGTTGAAGGCAAATGGCACGATAAAGTGGCAAGGCATACAGGATACATACGCTTATCGCGGAATATTACTGTGGTCTCGACCGGAGGGTGCGTGGCGCCCTCTTCCAACCAGGGGCGCCATTACAATTCCCAACTAAGGTCCAACATGCCTTGGTTCAGAGTTATAATAGCGGTAGTTGGAACGCTCACTGCAAACGTTAGCCCACAAATGGATGGACAGTTATATTGACGCTGGTACTCTTATCCCTTCATTGATGGATACACTTGATATGAAGCGTTACCTCACAGATGTTTGAGTACATACGTCAAAGCGGTTGTTGGCACGATGCTAACAGGAAACTCGTTTAAAAATGCTCGTCCAGTGCCGCGCAGAAAAGCTTCTTCACAGGTTTCTAGCAGTTTAACTTCGCTTTTTCGTCATTTTTCCACCATACTGCACTATTTTTGAGCAAATACCAAATTGTCGTGCCCAATGCCGTTAAATTAGGCGTGGGCTCTATGTTTGCCAGAAGATGCCCTGGTTCTTATTGAGAAATGGCGATATGTTCCGTTCGGCAGTCGAAATGTGCTATTACAAACAGGCCTGATTTAGCTAATGAACCAGTCTTTGCGGGCTAGTGAAGTAAAAAGCTGTGAGTACCTTAGCCCGAAGACCTGTGGTAACGCTGTTCGTGTGCCTGGGTATGTAATGCCACCCAGCGCGGTGAGAGGAATTAGGGTTGCCTAACCAAATGCAGTGTGCATTTTCCTGTTCTCCACAAAGTTCCGTCGGCATGATGACATGCAAAGAGTGCTTTCTCATGAAATTGCAATTTCAACTCGAGACCTCAATCATTCGTCTCATGTATCGCTTAATTTTGTCTCGAAAACTCTTCACCCAGTATAAAAACTGGGATCTATGAAGAAGGGTCCATGCCTGCGTGAGGTATAAAACCTCAAAGTCCCGAAAAGTGGGCTCATATTCCTTGATAAAGAAAGGAAGTCGGGAATGTTGAAGCTCTAGTATAAACGCTGCCAACCACCTAGCTGTGCTTACGCCCTTATGAAGAATAGACGATGAATAGCGGCTGAATGCGCCGTTAACCCCACCTATTCCAAACCGACACGAGGGCACGCTGTGCGTTGAAGGATCCCAAGTGAGGGTGGTAGTTGGTCTGGAGCAGGAGGGGGAAGCGTATTGCGAGGAAGATTTTGGCTGATGACTTTTTTCGGTTTTTACCTTTTTACGGATGATATCTCTCCCCCACCCCGCTCGAAGTCAACGGCAGTTCTTCGAGGAGAAACTGGTGGAGTTTCCGAAAGAACGCTGGAACTCTGCAAAAGTCAAAGCGGCAGGAACATGAGAAAAATGGAGATTATAGTAATCAGGATGGACGACGGGAAGAGGCTTTTATCAAAATCGGTCCTTTCGACAGAATCGAACTTTTCGCTGCCGCTTTGCTAGTCGGATGAGGTGCGAGACGCAAACCCCCTGCCCTACAATTTAAAGGTAGTTGGCACGATTACTCCTCCAAGAGGAGTAAGACTAATAATTTGGCAGGACGGAATTCCGCGACCCTGACCAGGCGCTGCATGATGCCTTTTCCAAGGATGGTGCCTTGATAAGGGCCCTATCAAACCACAACACCCACAAGTGGACGACCGTTCCAGACGCTTGAATTGATTCATTTACTAAGGAAGTTATGAAGGGAAGGAACTGGTATGAAGCGGCCGTGATGCTGCATGGATATATGAGTACACATATGCAGCCGTACTTTCGGTAGCGGATATTGACAAGATGCCTACAGGGAACTCGTCCAAAATTGATTACTAACACAGTGAGAACAGAGGCTCTATCGTCGCAGTATTTTAACCGTTTCACTCCGTTCTTTCGCCATTTCCCAGTACTGGCACCTACTCATTTTGGGCCGAGCACCAAATCATCGTGCCAACTGCCTTTAAGGAGAACGAAACAAATCTTGCTAAGTCCCTCTGTTCTTTAAACAACTCTCGATTGACTGTACGGTATTTGAAAGTTTTAAAGCGTTCGAGTATATCAAACTCTTTCAGTCGAAGTTCCTCTATGTTGCTGAAGCTCCCTATGTAGTTCTTTCCAATAACACTTCTTTTCAAGGATTCTGACCGAGCTGTTGTCGAAATACGATCGAAACCTGGTGCCAAAAATGAAAGGAGTGGACGTGGACGTGGAGCTGCTCATCCAACGCGTCTCTGAAATCTCCGAGATCCAGTCCTCTTCTACAATGCACATTCTCTTTAGTCAAATTTGGCACGATCCCGGTTTATCATTCGAGGTGAATAAGCGTTTTCTTCATCATTAGAAAGTTCTGTGCCTCCCATGAGAGCCCTTCCTGAACATAGAGTTTTGGATTATTTACTTTTCATGAAATAATCACTAAGCGTTGTGTAGAACCATAAAAGCAAAGTAGAGTAGAAACTTGTTAAGATGTGACTTACTTGAAGGAGGTCAGCTTTCGAACATCTCAAATTTTTTAAACAATCTGCTTCCGAAGTGAGTACTCCGAGAGCAAGATATGCGAAGTAAGCGCAGTTGCATGCAGCACCGTGGGAAGAGGGCCGGCTGCGCAAAGCGACGCTTTATTCCCAGCGAACTATTGAAAGGTCATTGTACGGAAAGAATGTGTCGTACTAACCTCTGCTAGTACTAACAATCAGTACTAGCAGAGGTTAGCCAACACCACTTTGTGATTCGCTCTTCGTGTAAAATGAGTGAAGTCCAACGGGAGAAGTACGAAATTAGGAACTTTAACATCCTTTTACTGCTGCCATTATTTTTTTCAAACTTCTCGCAAAGGTCTCGTTTTGGAGTTTTTCTCCTATCTCGAATTCGTTATTCAAATTGAATTACGAGTTCGAGGTAGGTGAAAAACTCTGAGAATAGAGCTTTTCGCAAGTGCATTAGAACTTTCAGCCGAAATTGCTCTTTACAACATGCTATTGACTGTGAACACTTTTCAGCATGAAGATGGAGCTCAGTGTCTCACGAATCTCTCGTTATCTCATCGTATGGTAGACAATATCTGGTTGCCAAATGTCTGTATAGTAAATAGTAAAGGTATGCAATTTTGCGATTCGAGGGACATCTCAAGGTGAGCTCAAACGCAAACCCCGCGATCGTATATTGTGGCTAGTGACTTTCGGTTTTTTTGAAGAACCCATAGTAGCTAAATGACTCTTGAGGGAAGAAAGCAAAAAAAAGTTGTGGAAAACACCCTAAGTAGGGACCTGGTAGCTTTTCTGGCCGAGTTTTTCGGATCTGCTCAATTTTCGCCAGCAAAGGAATGCTCTGCCGGCTCTGGCTCACTCATGGTTTTCTCGCGTCATTTAACCTGATGCCATTTAGCAGCAAAAAAAAGAACAAATACGCGCTGTAATTGAATTCGATACAGAGAGCGGCTTCGGAGTTTATAGGGGAGGGGCAACTAGCATCAAAACTGCTACTTATGATGGCCGGAGCGCCTTCGTTACTGACTGTGAAGCAGGGAAGGAGGGATAATCATAGAGACTGAGGGCCAGACCACTTCCACAATGAAGGACGCCTACGAACTGGCTCAGCGCTAGGACTGTCTCTGATAGAAAGACCCTCTGAATAATTTGGTTGAATGAGTTCAGAAGGGAACGCTCATCGAATTTCCATGAGGCAACAGAAACTTAGAGTAGTAGCCAAGCTGACGCTCAGGTTGAAGGGTTAATTCCTCGCTGATATGGGAGAGAAATATGCAGCCTTCTATGCGATGAATTTAAGAAACAGGTACGTGATCTGAAAAAGGCAAACACCTGCGCTAATATCTGTTGCTTGTCAAAAGCCTTCAATGGTGAGCGTTCAGTGGGATCCAATTGACGTGTTTACTTTCAAGCCAAACGAGGGTTTATATGGATCACCTATTCAGTAGAGTTTCAGGATCTGTTATCCACAAAAGTCCAACGCCAAATATTTTTCTGGCGATTTTCCCAAACGGAACTGTGTGGATGAATTACCGGTACGTCGGGTCTTCTGCGTCATTCTACCTCTATTTTTGGGTTTGAAAAGGCTTCTTACAAAAGCGGTCACTTGTTGGTCAGCTCAGATGATTGAGAACACTTTTTTTACAGGATCGTTGTGGAATCTCCCTGCGAAATGGATTTCAGGTCAGTTTTAAAAGTTATTCACTGTGCTATGCGTTTGAGTAGTTACCACTGCTACGGAAAAAGGATCAAAACTGGAAATAAGCAACTGGTTTCAATTTACCAGTATCTCACTGACGATACGGCCGCATACCCTTCAATACCTTTCCAAGTCATCGCTGATAACTGAGTACGACATTGTGATCAACGAACACTCCCTAGTACCAACTCGATCGAATAACCCAAAAGTGTACCCCCACCACTCACTCACAGGAAAAGTGCTTTTGGGCTGATAGGAGGGCAAAAATTGCGCGACGGGAATCTCAGAAATCAAAAGGATTGTGTTCCGCATTACTTGTTCAGATGTCATGCTCATCAATGAATGAAGACAACACGCCATGTGGTGGGTACACATTGACGTGGCGTTTATTCGCTGTCACGGAGCAGTTCCAACGTAGGTAACTCCACATAAACTACAAAAGTTCAAAAGGATAAAGATGGATAAAGATGGCGCTGGTCAAGAACTGGTTGGATGTGTTAGTCTGGTTCCATTCTCCATTCAAAATCCTTGTGGCTTAATGAATAGGACCTGTTGAAAGGCCTTTACCCTGAGATGCGAGCGCGAGCACGAGCCAGTATTTATTCCTCCCGCTTACCTCTACCAGATTACGTCTATCCTCGATAAATGAGGGGTTTGACTGGGCTGAGCCAACTACGATTTGACCCACGGGCGGCGCTGTGAGGATTGCCACTTATAGCATTTCATCGTCCATAAGATCTTTTTATATTCGCAAATATTAGTGCACCTATAGCTTTCCGCCAAAAAGATTACCTGCTGCCCTAATTGCTTTTTAGCGAAATTAAGCGTCCTGCTTGGGGAAACAACTCATAGCCTCCAATCGCGGTAATTAGTGTCAGATCCTTCTGTGAAGGGGAGCAGTGGTTTATTCAACAGCTGCCTCCCCCTAGTCATTGCATAACCATATTGCATTCACTAAGCCACCACGACTTCGACTGGAAGTAGAAAAAGCGATATATCCCAAAATTGGAGTGATCGACGGCGAAAACTTCATCCCCATTTTCTCAACCTCCCTCGACTGAAGTTTCAAGCCGCTTGATGCTTGAACGACCACGATGAATTGTCAGGGAGAGCTTGTCTCAGAACTTATATCAAAAAGTCACAGAATTGTCGCATAAAAGTGCGTGAATAATGGAACTTTCGCATGAATTCCATTCCTTCCTACTTTTACACTTGTCCGCAGGTGAACATCTGTAAAGCCTTGTTCCTCTCGAATTTCACATGAAATTTGATGCGTTTACTGCGCCAATCCGTCAGTCACAGAGGAACACAAGTTGTTGAAACTCGAAACACAAGCACCACAAACATCACATTCCTCTTCGCGTCAAATATCAGGGAGTCGATATTACAGGGCTGAATAATGCGAGTAGGCTAGACACCGAAAATCCATACTTCTCCCAATCGCTTTCCAATTTCCCAATCATCTATGTAGCACTATTACAATGTATCCCTGTCTTTTAAAGGCAACTGGCACGATGGTTCCCTGCTTAGCCTAAAATGCTATTAGGACGCTATATAGCGAGAAAATGGGAAAAAAAGAACGGAGTGAAACGGTCAAAACCCTGCGAAGAAAAAGCCTCCGTTCTCAGTGACTTGAAAATGGATTTCGGACGAGTTTCCCGCAGGCATCTTAGCAATCACCACTACCGAAGATATGGCTGCATATGTGTACCCATTTATCCATGCAGCATCATGGCCGCCTCATACCAATCCCTTCGCATCATAATTTGCTTAACAAATGAATGAATACGAGCGTCAGGAACGGTCGTCCATTTGTGGACGGGCGGGCGTGGCGGGCGTTTGGGACGTAAAGTTATGGCTTGATAGGGCCCTTATAAGGGCACCTTTCTCGGAGAAACCGTTATGCAGCGCCTGCCCTGGGTCGCAAAAATCTATCCTGCCAGGAGTATTGTCCTAGTGGGACTTATCGTGCCACTTGCCTTTAAGTTACGGTATGCTCAGATTACACTTCTTTTAAGTTACTGTATGCTCGAATTACACTAAGTATCGTGCACTTGGGATGTTGTGCTTGGCTATTGGATTACATTCTCCCGGGCTAGTACTACTGATTGAGCATTATTTAAAGGATTCGAAAAGTTCCGACAATCCTGCTGTCAGCGGTAAAGAAAAGAGGATGAGAGAAAAGGGGGTGAAGCACTTCATTCTGGGATATTCGCAATCGGCTTACATTTCGAAGGCAATCATTTTTGAATGCAAATGGCCAGATATAGTTACGGCAAGGGTCAAGCAATGAACATGTCGATGCTTCTATGATCACAGATTAGTCTCCTACCGGCTTAAGAACCTTGATCAGGCGAAATGCTGGGCTAATACTGGCACCACTGACCCCCGATTTGATCCAAAGCCATGTGTGTAATAGCGGCTTCACTCATCTCGGTTTTGATCCTTTGGAGGGCACAAAAATAAAAAAATCACACGAAACGTGCCTACTTTTTTGTAGATCTGCAGCACCCAGTGCACGTCAAGGGATGGGATGTTCTGAGATCGCAGCGCTTTTTTTGTAGTAGGGCATTCTGTAGGGCATCAAACGGAGGGGCACTATGAAACTTATCATAGGGGCACGGATAACAGAAGATTTTTCATGCCGCTTCATTTCAGCTTCTTTCCGATGGATCGAGTCATGTGTACGACAATCTTCGAGAGCTATTCATTCAATGTCGGGAAGGTAAGAGGTCTTTCATGAGCAGTGTGTTGGGCCAAGATATACACAGAGACACTTCACATGAGTCCTAGTTTATAAGGTCCCACTATACTGGAAAATTGAAAATACAAAAAGGATTTCTTGCCCACTAGCTGAGTGAAACCGAAAACACGGAAAGACACAAAAGGTCCCTCCAGTTCACTTCAAGAACATGGGGACCAGGGGACGTCCTACCGTTGGGGGGAAATTCATGAAAATACGCATTTTCTCCCTTGCTCCGACCACCCTTTTGGTAAGTTCTAGCATCTTCCTAAATACTCCCGACTTCCTACCATTTTTTTGCGTTTTTAAAAGTTGCTTCATTTTATTTTCTCGTAAAACTGCTGTCAAGCGGGGCGGGGGTGTAGTACATGGGTATGTACATCTGAAACCGGACAAAATCTACAAACGAAAATTTCTTCCTCAGTGACAAATACTACTTCCCTTGCTGGAGATCCCAGTCTAGGAAACGTACTCCTATGGGGATAGCTAAACTGATCCCGTTTGCCCAGTGGTGGGGCAGCTTTCGAAGATTGCTGATCAGGCTATTCATGGCGTTCTCGCTAAGTTTTTTTTTGTCTGCAATATCCAAAAGGTTGCTATACCTCCGGAAAACAGACCGGAAATCGCGCTGCCACTACTCAAGAGCATACTCATCCTCCTAAATTAGCCGAAAGAAAACGTTTAACATATCACGCTCTTTTCCCTAGGCAACTATCTGTTCCCAACAAAACCACGCTGAAATAATAAAAGATCTGCTTTGTTCAACGGAACTTGGCAGCTTGTTAAAAGCATTTCCAGGCACCTGACGTTCTTCCCTCGCCAATTTTTTACCACTAACTGCTTCATTTTTCCATTTTTTTACCACAGACCATAGTTGCTACCCTTCATTCAATCTAAACACTTTGTTGGACCTATTCCGAGCAAACTGGCCTACCTGGATGCTTTTAAGGTGCGACTTCACTGGAAACGACAAGGTCAACCGGTCGAGTTTATAGACGAAGTAAAACTGCCTGATTTTCACATGACCACATTTATTCACGAGAAAGCGACTTTCCAATATCCTGCAGGAGTATGGGATCAGGTATGGGTACCGAAGTGGTGCTAATGCAGAACCTTTATTTTTCATCTTTGTTCTCCTTTTCACTGTACAGTGTGCATTTTTTTCATCAATTACCACTCATCATTACAAGCTTTAGCTAAATATAAAACTGTTCTTTCGTCGATCTTACGGGTTCTATATTCTTCAAATATACCTCCCTACTTACTGCATGGTGAGATTTTTTTAGGTAAGGGCTCACGGAATGAGCGCTCACAAGTTTACCTTTCAGGTGTTGATTAGTTGGATTTCATTCTGGCTGGATCGCAAGAGTCTCCCTGCCAGAGTGACCCTTGGCGTCTCTTCACTTATGGCGCTCACTTTACAGTATAGCAATGTAGCTCGAAGTTTACCCAAGGTGAGTGTTGACAACAACGATTGTTTACTTGAAGTTGCAGAATTTGCTGAAACAATAACAACAATTCAACCTTCAACAATGTGCCGGTTGGCCTGCAAAGACTATGTGTGTAAAGCTCCTTAGTATGGCTACAATCAGGTTATGTGCCAGAATCCAAATCGGTTCAGTTGTCCATATGAATTTTTTCAACTCTTCAACCATTCCTTATGCCAATATCGCTGTAGAACTCTTTCATTGATGGGGAACTTTCTCCACCAGGTTCACAACCGACTGGCATGTGGACCTCTCGAAAACTGCAATGTTTCTACTTGGAACCCTTCAAACACTTATCATCAATAGATATACTCTCAATCTGCTGAAGATAGCGGGGTGTGGGGTGGGGGCGTGGCAGCGTGCTCCATTAACATATTTCGTGCGATGGGTTAATCGTGGGATATTTCAACTTGAGCAGCCGTCATCCTGTCTTGTGTTGGGCGCTAGCACAATTACAAATACCTGAAAACCAGAATATCAGTAATAATCAGAAGCACAGCCGCCGCTATATTCCAATGACGCACCCACGCCCCCCTACAGCTGCGGGATATAGAGCAAAAACGGATAGCCGTGTTGTTACACACAAATTAGGGAGCAATGGATGTGATTGAAGGAACGGCAGAATTTTGTTCTTAGCAATTTTTAGCAGTACTTGTGTTTCATTACTTACTTACTTACTTAGATCACTTAGACGACCCGTTCTTCAGCACGGCGGTTGACCTTGCGCGGGTCCCAACCTCTTCTCCATCGTTCTCTGTCTTGAGCCTTGCTTGTCCATGCATGGAGACCTTAAGGGAAATCTGTTCATAAACATTGTTGCGATAGGCCAGAGAATCTGCCCAGCGCAGCGGAGGGCGGCTCGGCGGTCGTTTCCTATCAAGCGGGTACCATCGTATCGTCGCAAAGCTCCATCTTCCGTCATTTTTCCTCATCACGTGGCCGGCAAATCGATGTTTTGCTTCGTCAACGTGGAGTACAATGTCCTTGATCTTCGACATGGCCCTGACGTCTGAGTTGTAAAGCTTCAATTCTCGATGGCGGCTTAACCTCAGACCTAATAGGCGGCGCTCAATGGATGCTTGGGCAGGCTTTAACCGTTTTTCGTGCGCTTTTGTGAGGGCCCAAGTTTCTCCTGCGTATCTTAGGGCAGGCAACACTGTTGCATTAAAGAGGTCCGCATGGAGCTTGTGATCCCTGATATCTTTCACGACGCTCTTTGTTGAGTTGAATGCTGCCCATCCAGCTTTGCGACGTGTTGTGCTCTCCGGTCAAGTCGTTCCTATGCTTAGCTCACTCCCGAGGTACACGTATTTTTCGACGTCTTCGATTGGGCTCCTTTCAAGGTTACGGTCGCACCTCCTGCGAATCGATTCCGCATAACTTTTGTTTTTGATGTGTTTGGTCTATACGATCCAACATCTCGGACGCTTCCTCTGGGAAGCTAGTAATAAACACAATGTCATCGGCGAAGCGAAGGTGATTCAGAAGAGTACCGTCAATGTTAAATCCGAAGCTGCTCCAATCGCAACGGCGTATAACGGATTCCAGACACGCGGAGAAGAGGTTCGGTGAGATCGGATCACCTTGTCGCACACCTTTCTCAGTATCACGTCGTTGAAAAAAGAGCGGAACGTGGTAGTATAATCGGTGTAATATTCCTGCAGCACGTCTACGTAGAACTTCTCAATTCCTTGCTCTTCTAGCGACTCCCAAACTTTCATTGGCTCCAGCAAATCAAACGCCTTTTTGTAGTCAACAAAAGTGGGTACAAGGAGCATACGTTGTTCTCGAGCTGCTTCCATACGACGACAGGTTGCGATATGGTCCAGCGTTCTGAAATTTCCACGGAATCCTGCTTGTTCTACCGGCTGGGCTCCCAGTATACAGCGAGTGAACATCTTGTAAAATAGTGGAAGAAGCGTGATTGGCTGGTAAATCGCCACGTCTTCCTTCCTGGGGATCAGAAAGTGTTTCAAATCTTTGGGAGAGTTTGTGAAGATAATTGCATGGGTTGGTGGGTTGGGGGGGGGAAGGGGAATGGGACGTACCAGCGAAAGAAGCGTTGAGGAAGGTAAAGGTGGTATTTTGCGAAATTACTGAAAACGACGGGACGCGCCCAGTCTACCATTAGCAATGTTTTTTTGGTAAATCGAAGAAGTGCAATCTCGTGGTGTCATGCAGATCCTAGAATGCGCTTCATCAGCCTTTCATACTTCTGTGAGCGACCTCATAGTGCGCAGTGTAGCACTGGACAACTTTATGGAAGATAGCTAAATCGCTCATTCGAACATTAGCTAATTTGAGGAAATGTCCAGCGGTAACCAAGCGAGTTAGTAATGGAGAAGGTGCCACCATCTTTCCAAATCTCTTTCCAAATCACTCCGAAAGTGCTGGCTAAGCTTTTCTGGCGGAGTCTCGCTTTATCTAGGCGGATCCCGTAGACCGGATGCTATTGGCATGCAGCACATTCCATTGCCAAGACAGTCTGGTGGTGGCTGCGTGTAAGTGCCTGTATCTTGAAATACTCTTGGCTGGACTTCTCAGGAAGTGTGTGGGAGGAGCTATTCCCTTGCAGAATGTTTAACTTTGTACCTTTCAGGTGTCATATGTGAAAGGCCTGGATTTGTTCATGTTCGGCTGTGTTGGCTACATTTTCCTATCCATAGTCGAGCTTGCCGTAGTTGGAACGCTCGAAAACAAGAAACCTAGGTGAGCTGTTCATCGGCTCTCCCTTCTGCTTCTCACATTCCCTTGTTGTATTAGGTTGTCCGAAAAGTTCTCAGCGTTTTGTGCACCTATTTTTTTGTACATTCACTGCTGATTAAAAACTCATTCTGCCTTGATTCTCAGTAGCACATCCTGTAGAGAAATTTCTCGCGCTGTCCGATGGTATAATTGCCGTTTTACCATTGCTTGTTAAACCCCCTTTTTTCAAGACCTTTTGAAGCATGTGAAAAGACCACTTAGGACGACTTTTTTCTTCGACTATAAATTGGTGCAATCCGCAATCGAAATAGCTCAACAATTAACCAGGTGTGGGGCCCAATAGTGCTAATGAAAGCACTGTGCGGCAATGGCTCAACAAATTTCGTTCTGGAGATTTCAGCCTTGAAGGTGAACCTCATAGCGGTCGACCTGAAGCAATATCTGACAGGATTTTAGGGGATTTTGTGAAGGCTGACCCATCCAAACAGTTCGAGAGATAGCAGAAGAGCTAAGCGTGGCAAATCCACTGTTGCAGATGGTCTGGGACGCATTGGGAAGGTGAAAAAACTCGACAATTGGGTGCCCCACGAATCGGAGTGACCGGCAGGAATCGCCACGACTCGAGGTTCCTTCTGCATTGCTTTTGCGCAGCAGAAACGATCTGTTTTTGGGCCGAATTGTCATCTGTGATGAAAAATGGGTCATGTATGATAACAGGAGACGTTCCGCACAACGGTTGGATTTCGACGAACCACCGAGGTAATTTTCAAAGCCGAACCCTCACGAAAAAAGGTTCTGGTCACAGCTTGGTGATCATCGGCTGGTGTGATCCACTATAACTTTTCATCACCAGGCCAAACCATCACAGCAGAACTCTACTGTGAAGAAATCGACGAAATGTACCGAAAATTTTGTCAGATGCAGCCAACACTTATTAAAAGAAAGGGTTCGATTCCTTTGCATGACAACGCCCGCCCACATGTTTCACAAATCACTATCCATAAATTGAACGAATTGGGGGTTGAAGTTCTACCTCAACCGCGATATTCTTCAGACCTTTCGCCAACCGACTATCACCTTTTCTAACATTTTCAGAACACCCTTGCTAGAAAATACTTCATCAATCAGGACCAGGCAAAAAGGGCTTCGTGGATTTCGTGAATTTTGGACCACCCAGTTTTTTGCTTTGATGAGATTTTTCGACTGCTATCACATTGGCAAAAGTGTGCTGATTCGAATGGTTCCTATTTCGATTAAATCCGATGAGTATTAAAAAAGTTACGATCGTTTAAAGTGAAACACCCAAAACGCTGAGAACTTTCCGGACAACCTAATATTTTACACGATGTCCGTTAGACATCAGAACGGTTTTCAGGTCGAACGAGGACTTCATGACAGAGGAAGAGATCAAGAAGAACGTCTTTCAACGAACATTTTCATCTAAAAGTTTTCGCTCAGGCTATGTGAGTTTGTAGTGATGTTGTTACAACGAATGTTCCACGTTTTTTCACTTGAAAGAGGGCAGGGCACCTGTTCATAACATTCTAACTCAAAACCGAAACCAAAAACGTCAAACTCTCCTGGTGACGTCAGCAATTCTGTTCAGAGAAAGAATTCAGGGAGGGGGGGGGACCGAGGTCATCGCTGTAGCAAGGGATGTGGCAGTCACTTGAACGAAAAATCAACTCTATTAGCGCTGCTTAACCCGTTCTCGCCTTGGGTATGGCTCATCGCTGTTTGTTCATCCCGGAAATGAAATGAACTGACTCGAATACAGCTTTTCGGCATTTTAATCCGCCTTTTTACGAGGGGGCAATTTAGCGCCTGGTTCATTGTTTTTTTTTCTTCTTCTACTTATTCGGGTATGTTATGAAGAGTGGCTTAAATACATTGTCTATGATTTTTCACCGAACTAGGGGTGAAAAGGGATTTGATATCTTGAAAGGTTATCGAAGACCTGCATGTCAACCTGTCGGTGGGAAATCGTTGTGAGGTAGTTCCAGTGATCCCAAGGCGTACACTTTGAAGAGGGAGGAGGTTAGACTTGTTGACCTCCACCACTCCCCATTGTTCTGTTTATTGGTGGCTAGTTTTGATCACTGAAAGCCGGATGGAGACTAATGAGAATGAAGTCAACCGGAGAACAACAAAGGCGAACTCATTGGCTTTCGAGTAGGCGATTAGCAAACAGTTACACTGAGGCTTTGAGGGACCTAGATTAATCATGCTCATATGTGTTGTGATCGGTGGAATGAGAATGTTACTTAGGAAGCACTGAATCGTCCAGACCACTCAGACCCTTCATCTACATCCACGGCTTCTGCCAACAAAGCTGTCAAGGAGGATAAAGCACTCGTCTTAACATCGGTCAGCTGCTTCGAGTTCTCATTTGTAAAGAACAAGTGAGCATTCAGATGTCATGTCATTCTTAATGGGAGTCGAATGGCGGCCCTCAGATATGAATGCCAACCACCTGATTCATTCTTATAAGTCAGAATCACAGTCTAATACTAAAGAGAGCTTATTTCTTTAGGGAATCATTCTCCGGCCAGACATGACTAAGCGGCGAGAGGATACACTCCTGGTTCCCTTTTCCTGACCCCTGCGCATGGGTAAACACAAGAATGCTAAGCCACGATCCTAGGTGGGACTCCAACCCCCACTCTCCCGCTGACGGGCAGTGCGCATACTCATACTAGAACAACTCCAGATACTTACACAGTCTCCCATTACTTGAACGTGGATGTCAATGGGATTTGGGATCCATTACTAAAGATGTCTCTTCCGTTCCCCAACATGATTCGAAGAGAACTAGCCACTCACAATTGTGATTGTTCATGAATTCAAGACTTCGCCATGGAAATTGATTCCGCTCTTGGTTTAGGATATAGGTGGTTTTTGCAAAGTCGAATAGCACTAGTAGTCTCTCTGTTTGGTCCGCTTCTCCTCTTTGCCACCTTAGAAAAGGAGGTGCGGGGATGGCTTCAGTGAGCCAGATGTGAGGGACCCAAGGTACGCGTGGAATGTAGCTTCACAGTGCTCCAAAGCATGATGCCCCAGATCGTTCAACGCTAAGCGCTCACGTCTCTTTCACCCAAAAATTAAACCCCTGTTCTTCGTCAGAAAGGCATATGGCATGATAGTTTAATACTTGGTCTGAAATAATAGCAGGAGTGTTTTATAAAGGGAAATTGGCGAAAAAGCAAAGTGAAACGGTCAAAAACCTCCAAACAATCTTGTTCTACACTATTCAGAAAGCAATTTCGGACGGGTTTCCCGTTGGCATGCCAATAACCGCTACGGTAGATAAGGCGGCGTGTAGGTAGTCGTATATCTATCTATGCAGCACCGCTTCATATCAACCCTTCGTTTCAGATTGTATTTCGCAACAGCGATACTAGCGACAGCATCGGTCGGACATTTGTGGGCGGGCGGGTGTCGTGGGCCTTCGGGTCGGTATGTTGCAGCAGCTTGATAGGGTACCTTCCTTAGAGAAGGCACGAGCGCCTGCTCAGCAATGCCGAATTCTGTCCTTCAAGGCGTGTTAATGTTTGTTATCTACTTATGCGTCTACACAAATAGTACGGGGTGTGGTCCCTAATTTGATGTGTAACGCATTTACTTGTCTATGCTCAATACGAATTCCTCAAATAAAGAATAAAAAACTTGCCTTTCTACCAGACTTATTCTTACCCATGTCGAGTAACAAGTTGGACAAACTTGCTTCCCCTGAGGACGCGCGTAGATGTTAATAACCAGTCACTTCGTGGCCATTGACCAGTGGGAGTATTCGCACATATACAGGGGTGGGGCAAAAAACAATTTTCTTCCTTGACTTTCGAGGCGCTATAAGTTACACATTATTGAATTCTGATCGGACATCCTACCACCTTGTCAAAGAGCATACTAAATACTATCATGATACTCTGCCACAGTCTTCTGGAGGAGCGCCTTCGAGAGATTCTGCCACGCGACCGTGATTCGGTACCTGAGTTTTCAGCAAGTACGTTGATTTCTCCGCCACTGTAGACCACCCTATTGAACTCCGCCCGACCCAGTTAGTTGAGGGAGTTTAGTTCAGGTGACCTGCTTAGATATTTCTTCTTCTTCAGGTACTCAAACTCCCTTCCATTCCAAGTAGGCGAGAGTTTTTCAAACCCCCTTCGATCTCATGTGGTGTCACTCAATCCTGTGGCAGTCCAAAGTTTCCAAGAAGGTACGGGCAACGGCATGTGAGGAGGAATTCTTCCGAGTTGCTCGATTATCGCCAGCGCTCACCTTCAATACGGGGTCCACGAAAATATCGGTCTTCCTATTCTAGGAACTTCCGGTCCATACCATCAAACCGCGCCTTGGCGACTGCGGTGAAGATGACATCCTGGACCGTAGCGGCGTTGTCGGAGCTGCTCGATGTTGAAGGTCTTCCAGGTAGAGAGTACTGCTCTCCATGTAGCTATCCATGGGTGATTCAACGCTAGAACAGCTATATGGAGGCGACATGAATTCGGAAGGTCTTCTCCAGTCAGGGTGCGACTGGAGATTATTTCATATTTTAGTGTACATGAAGGTGATGGGTGACCAGCTTCTGCTTATCGACGAATATCTTGGGTATCTTCTGCACTGGTACTCGTATCCACGTCCTCTGTCTGGGCTGCGAAAACTTTACTGATATGTGACTCCGCCAAAGTGTCTTTTTTTTGCCCCCCCCCCTGTAATGCATGCACCCATTGCCTTGAGAACTTGCCTGAAATGTTGGTGTGTTCAGGGTCCGAGAAGGGAGTGCGAATCGAACTGTGAATCTCCCGAGGCGTGGCAAAAACCGTCGTGGCAAGATCGCACATATGTGGAGTGTCCCGAACCTAAAACCGCCGGAAATTAATTCGCCTCCGGATGTAGAAGCTGACGCAAACAATCAGGTACGAACATTTCTAGTGAATAATTGATGGAGTCATGAAAAATATATTGAAGTGAAACTACCCTGTTTTCTGAAGCATAATGCGCACCTTTGCTTCGAAAGCTGCTAGTTTTTTCTTTCTTTTGAACTCTGCAAATTTTTTTGTTTCTTTCTGCCCATATTTTGTATAATATCCTATAAAAATTGTTCGAAAATCAATTAGGAGAAAAAAAAATCAAGAGCTGTGCTAAAAAAAACAGGAAAACTGCTGCTCTTATTACTACCCTTTTCGCCCATGCTGATGCGCGCGACTCCACAAAATACGAATTATACTCGTGAATAAATAGGGTGGTTTCAGTTATAGCTTCTTCTTGGTTAGTTGAAGAAAAGTCCCATCTAACTTGGGAATGTATCACATGGGACAAATCTTAACAACGCTTTGAACAAATTTTGAATAGATTTTTGAGTACTCGCTTCAATGCTCAAGAACTCCGATCAACAAGGTCATCACTAGAGTTATGTGGGTCAATCGTTTATCTTATGAGCAGGTTCTCCATACTGTTCCCTATTATCCGATCGCAACAGTTACAAGAAGGATCCGTTCCCACTGTGGAGGTCAACTATCAGAGTATTTGTTTTTAAGCGTGCAGCAGTGACCTAAGCAGGTGTAGGCGCAACCTGCTTAGTCTCAATAAACTGGGAACAGCTGTATTCTCCACCCCTCGTATTGGCGATAACCACAGTTTTCGAGCAGCATACCTCTGTAGCTCCATCATCAGAACATGTCAGGAACGCGCGCTCCTTTCCTGTCCAGGGATTCGTGGCACTTGCATGTATAGTTTATGCGGAAGCCCCAAGTCTGATCACCAGCCACTGGACATGCCATTAACAAGAGAGGTCGTCCAGGGCGTGGTACGCTTTTCAGAAACGGTTCTTTGCATATTATAGGGGTGCGAGGACCTGAAAAGTGTGCTTCATTTTCGCTGCGCGCTTCCAGGAAAGGTAAAAAACGAGTCAAAATAAATCTTTTTAAACTGCTTCGTTTTGGCTGCTTCGTTTTGGACCTCTATGCGGCGTAGGTCACTTGCATCTTTGACCAGTTGCTGAGTGGGGGAGTTCCTATAGAGGGACTATTAGAGCTGAAGCGAAAATCGTCGCAAATGAGCTTCCAACTTGGGTCACGTGCTCAAGAGTGAACGGCTCCTTGCAATGGTTTCTTCAACGATTAGAGCGGTATGCAGCGACAACGTTCGTATGGCCTAGCGGGTAGTTTGAAGGGTTCAAAATCGGACATTGAAGTTGGGGTTGATGGTTCGAGTCACCCTTGAGTCGAGCCTTTTTGTATTTTTAAGTTTCGTTGTTCTCGCTTCCATTTATGTCTGCGCATGAATATAACACGGATAATTGCCATTTATGGGCACATTCTGAGCAGCTATATCCCATGAATCAGTGCTATTCAACTATTTCGATTTTCACGCACCATTGAACGAAATTGTTGCTGAACGTTGATCTTCACAGGCTGAAGAGTGGGATTTGATCGCGAATATAGGAACTTCTGACATAGTGTCATTACAGCCAATT